TAGCACAGGATGAGTTGGTTGGTGGTATGGAATGGGTGGAAATAATGTCAATCGAGTAATGAAAAAGAGAAATAGGTGAATAACTTACATAATATCTGAAGAGTGATATCTGAGGTTGACCCCTGTTTTCCAAGTGTTCAAGAACATGCAAACATACTGAACACACACACACACACACACACATACACACTGGATACACACACATATACTGGATACACGCATACACACACACACTAAATACACACACATTCACGTTGAATACACAGACACACAATATTGAATACACACACATCCACTGAATACACACACATTTACACTCTCAGAGGCTCACATGCTTAAACATACAGTTTACACGTACACAGACAGTCTCACATATATAGGCATAACTAATGATTTTAACTAAATGTGTGCTTAAATATCTCTATCTCTAATCTATATCTAAGTAATAATGGCCATCTTTAAGCTTTAGACTAGTGATAGTCAAGGTATTTGTCCCGCTTGCACACACATCGCATGCTTTCATGTGACTCATGGGCATTACTTCATGTTAGTGGTGTTCAGAAGGCCTTGGGGCTCTTTGGCCATTCTGAGGATATATGGCGTTAAAGTCTTTATGTATCAGTGCAGTGGTAATGTATGCCATTTTTATTCTGTCATGATAGTAACTTGCCAGAGGCTACCCCCATGTGATATTACAGCGTTACAGAAGCAAGGATGGGAGTCTAGGATTCCTGCCCTTATTAGCCAAGCGTGGATGTTATTTGCTAAAGGATAAAACTGTGCTGCTCATTTTATTTTTTGTTTTAAAAATCGCTTTTTATTGGTACCAGAGGGGGGGTTGATGCCTAGAAACTTGTGCTGTTTTGCAGAGCTCCCGAATCCAGCTCCTGGCACTCATATTGGGGAACTCCTGACAGCCTGCCACTCCAGCTCTAGGGGATTTGACACCCTATGGCTTATATCAATATCCACATGTGCATCTACATAGCTGCAAGCAGACATTCAAATAAAAACAAGCCTTAAACAATCTCTAACAATTATATGCATTTTTAGCCTATAATTATAATTTTTATTGATATATTTTGAGACAGAGTCTCAGTATCCATTCTTCCTGCTCAGTATGTGTAGGAGTTGTGGGTTCATTTTAGAGAAGCTAATGAATTGTGAATTGTGTGTAGAGAATTCTGGAATCAACTCTGGTACACCAGAAGGCCCTGTGGAACCCTAAGTCTGTTCTCCACTCTTCACACACTGAACACAGCCCCCTATTTCTGGGCAGCTTCTCTTTGGGAAATATTTTCTCAATCCAGGAGCCTTGCAGATATTTTCAAGTGTTTACAAATATCAGTGATTTCATTGGGGGAGGCACATTCTTTCCTGGGCTTTCTTGCAGATCTGCCAGTGGTGTTCTGAAGACCCATGGCTCACATTGAAGGAGAATTCATTGTCCTCTATTACTATATTGGATTAGGGTCAGAGGAAGACGTAGAGTACCCTCCTCTCTCACTGTTCTTCGTATTCTTGTCACACAGGGTCTTTCAGTGAACCTAGAGCTCACGTCTGCCCCCATAGCACTGGGGTGACAAGCACACATGTGACCATGCCTGGCTTTTCTATGGATGTTAGAGATTGGAACGTGAGCCCTCATGCTTGCATGGCAAGCTCTCTTACCCACTGTACCATCTCCCCAGGGGTTATATTAAGGGGCTTTAGCAACCTGAGACCAATTCTCCATTTGAGTTTAAACTGTGTTAAGAAGAGAGGATCTATTTCTTCCTGAGTTACACATTCTGTTTCACTGAACTGAAAGGGAAGCGAGTGTGCTGTCTGATTTGTTGTGTATTTTTGATATAATGCTTTGTCCATGTTGTGGAGCTAAGGATCCATGGCTTTTGATCACATATCCCCAGGCATTGGTTTTGTAATCATAAACTCAGTACCAGCTTCATAACGAGCTCCCGACTCTGCAGCAGAACAAAATAGGGAAGTGTCATGCAATTGCAGTTGTCTCTTGTCAGCAGAACTAAACCCTTCAGACGGGAGCATGAATGTACATTTGCTGTGGGGAGCTTGAAAGGCAAGCATTCTTTGTTTGTTTATTTATTTATTTATTTATTTATTTATTATGTTTTTTTTGACACAAAATTGTTTGTAAGAACCTTCAATTAGCATGAAAAAGAAGCTGGTCCCAAGTGGCTTCACAGCCATTTTGGAACTACAAGGTGAAAGGCATGCTGTGTCAGAATGTCTAGGGCAAACCAGATTATTGATGAAAGCGACTGGGCTGTTTGTTTCTGGTACCCTGATGGAGTCTATTACTCGATCCCGCAAATGTCACTGTATAGGAAAAGGGGAGACGTAGCACAGAAGCTGCCAGCCTTTCTGCAGCTTGATCACTTCCTGTGTTTTAATCATGACATTATTTTTCATGGAGAGAACAAGATTTAGTGTTCCTGTGGCAGTCATCCTTTTGGTGCTACCAAATCTAGTCTTTCATTAAATCCTAAATTGTGTATTAATTAATTAAAATAGCACCATTCAAGGCTGAATCTGAATTCTAAATTTGCCTGTCTGTAGTAACTTTCCTTTTTTCCTGTCTAGAATAACTTTTCTTTTTCCTAGAGTTGGTATTTGCCTACATATTGAGTCCCAACCTCTGATTTCAGCAGAGGTTGCGCTAACATAAGAGTGTCTCTAAGAACCTGCAAACATATAGGTTATTTTGATGCAGCACTCCTTGTATGTATTTACTTAAGATCAGAAAAGGATGTCCACCGTACTTTTCTATTATTGTCTGCTTTAATCTCTTAAGACAGGGTCTGTCACTGAACTTGGATCTAGGATGGCAGCCAGCAAGCCCCAGGGATCTTCCTGCTTCTGCCCACTATAGAACTGGAGCTCCAGATCTGTGTATGGCAATGCTAGAGATTTGAACTCAGGTCCTCACGCTTGCCCAGCAAGTGCCTTATTCACTGAGCCATCTCTCCAGCCCTAAACCATTGGTTTCTTCTGTGGGGACATTATTCTGGATTGGATTCCTAGGAGCTGATTATCAGAGGCTTCTTTTTTTTTTTTAAGAGTAACATTTTAATTAATTCTTTGAGAATTTCATATGTATATTCAATGTAGTTTATCATATTCATTCTCCAATTCCTCCCCTAACTTGTTCCAGGACTACACCCCCACCAGCTCCTGGCTCTCCATTTTGAGTCCTTTCTAAAGTTAGTGTAGCTCTCAGACTTCATCAGAGAAGTCTCTTGGTGTAAGAAGTGCTGGTCAGTACAGAAATTCCAACTGGTCACAGCAAAGAGAGTGAGTGTCAGTGGAGTACTGAACCACAGTGGGACCTCTCTCTCTCCCTCACTCCCTTCCCCTTTCTCCCTCTTTCTCTCATACATTGTCTTTGTCACTCACACATTCTTTTACACATGCATATTCTCTCTGTGTCTCTCTGCACCCCCCCCCCAGGTCATTGTAGAAGAGGGGAAAGGAAATTATAGTCAGAGACCAGGGAGGGCCAAAGTAAAATGCGATTTTCTGGATAAGAACTACAAAACATAAACGAGTTAATGCTGCAGCATGCTGGAGGGAGAGGATGCTGTAGAACTATTGACAATGGAGGGCCTCTGGGGGCCATGGCACCACACCCGCTTTTCCCCATGTGTTGTGGGATTCCAATTCTGATCCTCATGTTTGCAAGGCAAGCACTTCATTGACCTACTTAGCCTGGGAAGTTGGTTTTGTTTCTTGTTTTTGGTGGTCAGGTGTCTCACAACCATTGGAGGCAGGAAATTCTTTCTGTCACCAACCTGGGGATGAAGTGTCCCACCTCCTCTGCCAAGTCCCTGTGAATGATCACAGCTGTAGTGGAAGAGGGATGAAGTGGCATTCAGACACTTCATCTCACTAGGAGAGGGGTTTGAGGGCAGTCATCACTGAGACTGAGAGCTGGGAAGATGTGGCTAATTACCTCTCTGTCATCTGTTCACATTTTTAAAAACAGAAAAGCTGTTCAGAATGCATGTATTATCATAAGCATTCTTAACATTTTAGTGACTTTCCTATATATTGGAAGTGTCATTAGTTATGAAGAATATGAAATGAATCCCATTATGAAGTATGGACACTAAACCTGATTTAGCATGAGTTTCTTTATTGTGTGTGTATGTTTACATGGAGGCCAGAGACTGGCTTTTAGGAGTCATTTCTCCCTCTCCGCATGTAGGTCCCATGGGCAACAAATCAATCTCGAGCCCTCAGGTTTCCAGAGCAAGCACCTTTACCTTCTGGGTCATCTCTCTGTCTCATGATCTGGTTTTAAAATCTGTATTTTTAAAAATTTCTTCGACCTTGAAAAATAATATGCAGAGTCTTTATTTAGACTTTGATGTAAGGAAACCCAACCTTTGACCCTGTTGTATCTCAGCTCAGAGTGCAGTGGTTCACTTAGCCACGTTCACCCTCAGTTTCCTCCCCTCTATATAATATATAATATACAATATATATTCTAGTAATATTATATATATTCCATATAGAATGATCAGCTCTCAGGCTTGTAGGGGGACAGGCAACATTTCAAGAATGATGTAGAGTTATGTTTCGCTTGCTTTTAAAATTCAGTTTCTTATAGAGGGAAAAGAACAAACAATTAAAAGTCTATAAGCAAAGTCAACACTGAAGTCCTAATGAAATAGCCTCAGCAACATAAGTGACAAAGGATATATGCAAATGAGGTTAGTGGAACACTTGCTTAACCTAGCATTCAATTTCTATTTCTCTATCATGAATTCCAAAATAAAGGAGCCAGAGTTGTGATGCTGGACACAGACGATGCCCCAGTGACCAATTACTTTAAATATTTAATCCTAACTATGGTGGAGGGAAGGAGGGAAGTAAAAGACGGAGCTCCTTTGGAGACCTCAAAAACATACTTCCCAGGCATTTTGAGTGTATCTCAGCCCTGATAACAATCACCTAATCTCTTCCCTTTTCCTCTCCAGGGAGAAGCTGGCTGTGGCCAGGCTGCAGAGAGAAGTTGCCCAAAGGACAAACCAAGGGGCCATGGTGAGTTTTGGCTTTTCTTCCTTCCTGTGATTCTCCTGTCCTGAGAGCCCTGGCTTCAAAACCATTCAATACCAGCAAAACATATCGAAAGCCAAATATCTGCTTGTAGCCAACTCCATGATTGTATCTTTGTAAATGAAATGATATATTTATTTCATTTTAGATAGCTTTGCCGTGGAAGGTCAGAGAGACACAGACAGATGGGCAAACCGCAGTCCAGATTTGAAACAGTACTCAAATATTCAAAGGGTGGAGGGTTGTACTTCAAGAATCTGGATTGGATGATCAGGCCACGTCTGTTAATGCACAGATTTAGATTCTTACATAAGGCCAATTGTATATAACTCAACTCTTTTTGTTATTCAAAGGTAAACAAAATGCATTACAGAAAGAACCCTTGGGTGTTTTCTAATGTAATTGCCCTTTATTTGCCCCCTCCCCAGTATCTACAGGGTATTTTACACTGTCCTTTCCAGATCTACTTCTTAGGAAAACTGACATTTTCTTGTGTTTCTGAGTGGAACCCACCAAAAAAATCAATACATAATTTTTTGGTCCACCTAAACTTCATTTTATAGACCATTTTCTTTGCCTGACTATCCCCTGGGGTGCCACTGTAACATTGGAGGTGACTGTCTGGGTACCCAGGGAGCCTGTGTGTGTGAATTAACTGCTGTTGTGATCTCTGAGAAGAAACTAGCACACCGTTTTTACTCTGCCCCTCTTCTGGCAAGACAGTGGTAGGTGTGTGAATTTTTAGCAGAAGATTCTATTCTCTATGAAAAGGTAGTTGGGTGTTTGTTTGCAGGCCCCCAAAAGCTGCTTCTATTTGATTCCATAAGTGCTAAGTGACAGTTCATCCACCAAGAAGAGGAAAAAGTTTGTTAGAGTCACTGGTCTCTTGTTTTTATTGATGGGAAATGTAAGAGGCTGGGGTTACAGGCTAGATGTTGAATGTATCTGAAGTGCACAGGGGCCCAGAAATATGCTGACCTAGTTTAGGGAAGGCAAATCACACTGTTGTGCTAGGAGTCAAAACACAGAGAGAATTGGCAAATGTTCAAACAATTTGAGGCAGCTACCCAGAGGTATCTTTGGAGCAAGGTTATAAAAGCAAATTGGAAAAGTTTGAGTGGTAAGCTACACCTTCTGTAGCTGGACAGGTCACCACTGTGTAGACAGCCCTAGAGGGCAGAGAACAACCCTGGCTGTCACTCCTCAGGTAACTTTTACCTTGTGTTTTGAGATAGGGTCACTCACTGGCCTGGAGCTCATGAAGTAGGCTGGGCTATGCCAATTAGCAAGCTCCATGGGTCGGCCTGTCCCCACTTCCCAAGCACTGGGATTATAAATACATCTCACCATGTCTGGGTTTTTAGATGGAGTCTGGGATAGTACTCCCAGGTAAGTCCTCATGGCTACATAGCGCACATTCACCACCTTTTAGTCCAAGAGAGTTTCATTCATAATAAACCCTTCATTTTGGAGTATTATTAGATCTACATAAACCGTACATCTGAAGCCCTTCATCCACCTCCCCCTAATATCAACTTCTTGTGTGGCTGTGGTACAATCACCCTAACAAGAAAGATCAATTTTGTTGGTTTACTGTAAATCAAATCCCAGGCTTTACTAAGCTATCACCACGGCCCATCTGTGATCTACAACCCAATGTCGGACTCTACATTTCATGGAGAAAGGTTCCTTGTTAACAGCAGGAATGAACCCATGCATGCAGTCTGAACCATACACATACTCGGAATGTTAACCCCAACTTGGGGTTAAGGCTACTCTGGATTCATATCACAGTAGCTATTGTTTACTGTATTCAAGGTAACCGCTTGATGTGAGATTTTTTTGTTGTTGTTGTTCCATTAAGGAAGGTTTGGAGAGACTAACTTTCAGTATCGTGGATATTTTATATTTTTTTCCTAGTTGGTCATGGAAACATACTTCATTGGTTTGCAGTTCCCTTTAGTAATTTTCCCCAGTTTTTCTTCCTTCTGACAGATTCTTTAATCTATGTTCTATTCTGCTGGTTCATTATATTTTATTTTATTTTATTTTATTTTATTTTATTTTATTTTATTTTATGTGTATGGGTGCTTTGCTTATATATATATATATATATATATATATATATATGTATATATATGTGTGTGTGTGTGTGTGTGTGTGTGTGTGTTGTATATATGTATGTATATATGTATTGTATGCACATGTGTGCCACGTGCATGCCTGGTAGCTGGGAAGGTCAGAAGAGGGGGATTGGATGCTGATGGATGGTTATTGGCCACCATTAGGATACTGGGAACTGCATCACATCTTAGGCTTTTTGCAAAAATAACAAGTATTCTTAACCACTGAGCCATCTTTTCAGCCCTGGAAACTCACCCTAAAAATGTGTACTTGGTGTGGGAGTAGAGGAACATTTATTGACTTCTGGAGAGAATATCAGTTGGTACAGCCACTATCCCAGTCATGTGGAATATCTTCAAGGCACTAATACTACACCTGCCCAGCCTCCCACTCTGGGGCATCCAAAGGACCCTTAAGTCAGCACACTACATGGATATTTGCACATCCAGGCTTATTGCTGCATTATTCACAATCATGGGGAAATGGGACCAGTCTAGGTGTTCATCAGCAGATGAACAGATAAAGAAAACATGCTCCAGACACATAATGTTCTTTCAGCTCTGGTGAAAAGTAAAATCATGACATTTGCAGGAAAACAGATACAACTGGAAATCATTGTAACCCAGACACATAGACAAATAACATTCTACTTCAAATGCAGAACTTAAGTTTAAAGGTGTATGTGTGTGTGTGTTTGTGTGTGTGTGTGTGTGTGTGTATGTTATGAAACTGGAGAGGAGATCATGATGGGGAAAAGAAGAGAGCTGATAGGGCAGGGAAATGAAACCCTGTGATAAGAAAGTAAAAGGAAGTAGGATCTCAGGAAGAAAGCCAGCCAGATTAGGGCACAGGCATCGGGTGGAGCAGTGGGGAGAGGAAATGAATGAAAGAAAGATAATGACATAGTATGGAAATGCTGAAACTTTACCTCTTTCCCCTGTTGTGAATGAAGGCTCCATAAAGCATTGATAAGAAATATTAGGGGGCTAGAGAGGTAGTTTATTTATTAAATTGCTTGCCACACCAGCTGAAGGACATGAGTTCCGTCCTCAAAACGCATATAAAATGCTGGATGTGCTTGGGCATGCCAGTAATTGAAACTCTGAGGAGGTGGAGGCAGGGGGATTGTTGAGTTACAGTGACAAGCCATTCTAGCCCACTTGACCATTTCAGGTTCATTAAGAGACTCTGTATCAAAAAATGGAAGTGGCAAACTCAAGAGGGCTTAGCAGGTGAAGGTGCTTACCACCAGTTGTGACAACATGAGTTTATCCCAGAGCTCACATTGTATAAGGCCATCATAGACTCCAACTTGTCCTCTGACCTCCAAACATGCATGGTAGCATACATAATGTCAATAACAAATGTAGTCACGGAGAGTTTTGGTGACTGATCTCTTGCCAACATTGAAGACGGTTATCATTGTCGCTATTGTAGTTAATGTGATAGCAGCTCCCTGTGATTCGCCTCTCCTTTCCTGTCTGCTTACAATCCACTTGATAAGTAAGCACTTTCACATCTGGTAGATTATTTTGGCTATTTGAAGGAGTGACAACTGCTTTCCCTCTTTGTTCAGTTGTGTATGTTGATTTTTTTTTTTTTTTACATGTCTCATCACAATACGTGAGGGGTGTTTCCCCCCCCCCCTTTTCTCTGCCCACTCCCTATGAAGAATGATACCTTTGGATAACTGGAAACATTTAATATTGAATTTTTTTATTTAACATCAGTTGTTTCTGTACCTGAAGAACTTGTGCCTATTTTGTGTTTATAAACATTACGATGTCTTTTCCTCTGTATGGAAAAGGATGTGCTTAGGTTAATGACCCATAGGTCCTTAAATGCTGTCTGTGATTAGTGTGACAGGCTGACATACACTTTAAACTGTGTCAGTACTCACATATGACAGGTAAAAAATGGTCTTCCTTTGAATTTCTATGTCAAAATTTGCAGAAAACCATTTCCCCCTATACATACAAATCTGTACCCAACTTTGACTTTATAAATTAATTTAAAAATGTGTTATTTATGTATTTATTTATTTATTTATTTATTTATTCATTTATTTGTGTGTGTGTGTGTGTGTGTGTGTCTCCCTGGCACTGAGTTACAGGTGGTTATGACCCACCAGGTCCTGCAAAAGCAGCAAGTGCTCTTGATGGCCTAGCCATCTCTTCTAGTCCTGCCTTTGAGTTTTGTCCCTTTGATCTATTTCTTTCTCCGTTGAAATCACTGGACTCTTTGATTGCTGTGACTGCCTCGTAAGACTGAAAATCAGGCAGTGTGAGTCTCCTGACTGTGTTGTTTCCTTGATTTTGTTACATCCCAAGTCCCTCTATTTCCCACATAGTAGTAGAGTCAGCTGGCCAGTTTCCTGAAGAAATGTCCCAAGGCTTACTAAGAATAATATTGATTAGTTAGATGATTGTGGGCAGGAGTGACATCTATCTTCAGTATCAGGGCTTTCTTTTTAGACATTGGCTCTTAGTTTTGTCTTAATCCTAAATCATAAAGAAAATGTTGATTTCCTTTTTTTTTTTTTTTTTAAGACTGCCAGTTAACCACAGTAAATGTGGGCCATAGGTTCTGATCCTACATATGAGTCATGGTCCTCTTTTGAATTCACTTTCCATGACACTCACAGTTCTGGGGACCTGTGTGGATTTAGCCACTTGTCACTGGTTTTACAGTCCCTGGATGCCACTGGTTCAGACCTGAGCATGGAAAGTCATGGTCGCCCCATGGGGCTGCTCTTTAGCTCTTCTTTCCCTGGGTACTTTGGGTATGTTTTAATCATTCCCTGGCATCTCCCTTGTGTTCTGATTCTTTTTACAGAAGCCTGGAACTTTAATTCCCTTATC